CGTCCATTCTACCCTATGATTTATAAGTCAGCTCCCTACCCCTGCCCAATTGTTGCCTCTAGCTCCACCATTCCTACTGCCATTCACAGCCAAAGGCTGTAGCCTGGGAAACTGGCTGTAGGCATCCAGAATGGGTGGTGATCATTCATCGCTCCCAACCCACTTGCCAACATAGAGCACGTGTGGCACTATTGCTAGGCTCACTCCAATAGGGAATCTACGAAAAGAATCTGACCAAAGTCAGATTTGATGAACCAGTTAGATTATTGAGGTTTCTTACAAGATTACGAATGAGAGTTTACTTACTGGAGCAGAAACGACTCCAAGAGATCTGCATCTCCAAAGCCTGCTTGATCCACATCTCAGAAAAACTGGGACCCTGAAGTGCTCTGCACAATTTGAGGGCGACTATAGGACAAAGTGTGTCTTCCAGGCAGCTGGGCTTATCCGAGCCTCTTCCAGGCAACTTAGATTATCTGAGTCTTTACAATTTGGAGATGAAGGGATCTATAGAATCTTTTTTTTTTCCTGAGACACCATGAGGTGTCATAATTATTTGCTTCAGGGGTTTTAAGCAGCTCCCTTGTAGAATGGAAATTATCAACTCAGGAAATTGCTATATAACCAAGACGTAGGAAGAGTTTTTTCATTGTATATCTCCCCTCCAGGGTTCTGGTTAGCAGGACTAAGGGAACTTCCTGAACACTCACACACTGGAAGACGATCCAGGAAAATGTTTTCACCTAGAAGGAGACTAAAGCCAAGGTTTGCAGACTATAATATGCCAATTACACAAGCACAGATACAGCTTCTCCGAGTAGCTCCTGAAGGTGTGAGGGAAATAACTGCCCTGTCTCCTTTCCTGTAAAGATAAGAACAGAACCCTGCCCCAACCCTATATGGTTTCCTTACCACCTATATGGTTGTCACCACTGTGGATGAGCTGTCATTTCACTTTTTGAAGAGGTTTCTCCTTTTAATGCAAAGCTTTTATTAATTGTGATGGTATCCATAGTTTGTCTTCTGTGGAAACAAGAGCAAAACTCCTTCCCCAACATAACACATCTGGTTTCCACTATGAGGTCAACACATCCTTGAAATACACTGGTTAATTCAATTCAGAAGTTTTTTCATTATCCAATGCCTCTCTGCTGCTGTTTTTTTTTCTTTGTCATTAACGTTAAGAAAATTCAAGGTTAATAAAGCATTATGCAATCATTTTGGGGGTATTTTCCATTCCTGCTTGTTTGTTCAGCATATTCTTTATAGTTCAATTTGACCTTTCTATAACTCCCTGACCTGTAGGATTATTTGGTATACCTGTAATGTGCTTTATATTATAGTAGGCAAGAAAACGTTTCATTTTATTAGATAAATATGCTGGACCATTGTCTGTCTTTATTTGTGCAGGAATGCCCATGATACTGTAACTTCTAATAAGTGTGTGATTACTGAATCAGCCTTTTCCGAGCTCAAGGCAGTTGCCCATTGAAAACCTGAATACGTGTCTATGGTGTGGTGCACATATTTTAATTTACCAAATTTCATAAAGTGGAACACATCCATCTGCCAGATTTCATTCCTTTGAGTACCCTTAGGGTTACTCCCTGCAGGCAATGATGTTTGGTTATAGAAAGAGCAAGTAGGACATCTCTTTATAATCTACTTAGCTTGTTGCCATGTAATAGGAAATTCTTCTTTAAACTTTTGATATTGACATGATGTTTTCTTTTTATGAAATTCAGGGGCCTGCAACACACTTCCAATCAATAATTGATCAGTTTCTGTTACTTTGTGATAGAGGACCTGGCAGATGCATATGGGATTGGATGTGTATTATGTATATAGGACAAAGTCTATTCCTGATTATGTCTTGCACCTGAATGAATAATGAAGTCAATTTTGTATCATCTGGCATAAATTTAGCGGTTTTAATATGCAAAAAACTCCTTTTGCATATTGTGAATCAGTAACTATATTGAGAGGTTCTTTATAATCCCTTAGGACCATAAGAATAGCATAAAATTCTGCCTTCTGGACAGAATTAAAAGGGCTTTGTTCCACCTTACTTAAACCTTCTGATTTGTAACCTGCCTTCCCTGATTTGTTTGCATCAGTATAAAATGTACGGGCTCCAGTTATTGGTGCATCACGTATAGTTTGAGGCAGAAGTTTTCTTTATAAGGTTAAGTCTATTGCTTTTTGAATAATTATTAATTTCTTCCAAAAAATTAGCACAAACTCTTTGCCATGGTTTATTGTCTTCCCATAACTTTTTTTATTTCATCAGCAGTGAAAGGCACTATATTCTCTACTGGGTCTATACCTGCTAATTGACGAAGTCTCAATTTACCTTTTATAATCAATTTAGAGACCTTTTCCACATAAGTTTTTAATTTTTTACTTGGTTTATGTGGTAAAAGGGTCCATTCTAAGATCATCCATCTGTATTAAAATTCCTATGGGGGAAATTCTGAAAGGCAATATGACTAGAATACAATTAAGATTTGGATTCACCTATCCATATTTGCCTTCTGTAATTTCTCCTCAACAATTGTTAAGTCTTTTTTTCTGCTTCAGCTGTTAATTTTCTGGGACTATTCAAGTCTTTATTGCCATTTAAGGTTTTGTTTAAATGAATTATTAGATCAGGTGTTATCTTAACAGTTGGTCACAGACTGGAAATGTCTCCTAATAATCTTTGAAAGTCATTAAGTCCGCAATTGGTCTCTCCTAATTTGTGCCTTTTGTGTTTTAATTATCTGTAACCCTATTTTATAACCTAGGTAATTAACAGAATCTCCTCTTTGAATCTCTTCAGGAACAATTCTTAATCCCCATTTAGGCAAAACGTTCTTTATTTCTTCAAATATCCTTTCTAAAGTATCTGCATTTGACTCAGATAACAAAATGTCATCCATGTAATGGTAGATTATAGACTTAGGAAATTGCTTACATATTCACTTCCAATGGCTGACTTACAAAGTATTGGCACAGGGTGGGGCTTTTGAGCATTCCCTGTGGGAGGAATCATGACCTGGGAGACACATAAGTAACACTAATAGTTCTTCAGGCTCCTAATCACAAATCAGGTTTGATCTAGCATTTAAAATCTTGGGAAAAAAAATCCTAGTGTCTTTGGCAAGTAGTACTGGGAAAGGGTATTCCGCTCCTCCACCTTCCTTCACCCTTTGGACAAGGATTACAAACTGGCTGTTTATCTTGTGCAGGAAAACAATTCTTCCATTAAAAACATATTGATTCCATAGACAGAAAGGAAGAAAATGCAAAATGGTGCCTAGAAAAAAAGTGGAAGGTAAAATTTCATAAAAAAATTCATCTTTTTATCTAACCTCACCCCATTTAGTCAGAGGTCCCAAAACTAAAATTTCAAGGTCTTCCTGTATGCCTTATTCACCCCAGTAAGAATCCTTTCTCAAGCATATCCAATCCAGGAGGGAACCCACTCTTCATAGTGGTCCTGTGTACATTTTAAACTGAATACATATTCACAATGGAAATGACATTTCCATACCTTAAAAGTACCATATCTACTGTGGAGATTAAACACTTGATCTGATCACTGTAAATGTTATTTAAAATGTTTTTTTTTTATCATTTCAGGGGAATCAGATCTATTTTCCTGCTGCTTTCAGAGCCTTTTGAATATGTTTGTACTCACTAGGAAAGGACATTTCTGTGAAATTAATCAAACAGGGAATTCAATGTTCCTTGTGATAATTTTGGGCATATCCCATTGGGAACTTTCAAGGCTGAGTTTGTATCTTTCCTGGGAAAGACCCCTGTGTTCCAGATCCTCATTCTTTCCCTACTTAGTTGTAAAGAGTGAAAAGCTAAGCCAATACAGACAGAATACACACAGAACTAATGACAGTGTGGATTTGCCAAGAAACTCTGCTGCAGGCTTCATTACTAAAATAAAATAAAAATATTTTAGGATAACACTTTACATGGATTAGATACAAATCAGCATCAAAATATTCTAAAGCACCATATTAATTTCATGATCTGCTGTCTTTTTTAAATAAAAGAAATATAAATTGGAAAATAAGAAAACATTTATACAAAACTAGAGATTGCAAGTTCTATTTTTTTTTGCTATTGTTTTTGGTTATTTCATAAAATAAACTGAAATCTTACTCTAGCCCTAGCTTTGTATTTTTGTCAGTTTTCATTCTGCTGGAGGCTGTTGTATGACTCATACCATACACGTGCTGGTTTTACCCCAAAGCTTAAAGAATCCCACTGGTTTTTTCGGAATCCCCATACCTGGGACATTGCTCAACCAAAGCCTTGAAAGCCTAGCATGTGGACTGAATCTCACCTGCAGAGGAGTTTGTAATTTTAGCTTGGTGGGGACATTTAAACACAGAATTCCCCGTGACTAAAGGTATCAGGAAGCATTTTTTAGAGCTGTCATTAGAACAGCAGGTAAGGGTGTCCCAGTAGAGAAGTATGTGGTCTAGGAAGGGTTGAGATTAATATAGAAGACCCTTATTAGGAATCCAAGGAGAAGTTAGGAGTAGGAAATGCAGTACATATAGCAACATACTAATTATTCAAGTTTGAATAAAAAAGAATTGTTACTTCTATCAAATCCCACTTTCAGAACTCTCTTGAGATAGTTACATAATGCCAGTTTTAAACACCCAGTCTACAGGTCATATTATCATGTTTGATGTGATATATCCTGCAGATATTGTATTTTCATAGATTTCCACATTGGCACTTGGTGAATAAAAGATTTTTGTTTCACAACTTGGCTGATTTTACTTCTAGGAGAAAAAGCATACAAAAGAAATGCCAAGATGGAAGAGTAGCCTTTCCTAAATCACCACAACTGCAAACAGCATGCTAAATTTGTGAATTTAGAAATTTTTGCCTACTAATATATAAATTCAAGTGCTTGAGCTACATCTAGGACTTACCATTTGTAATGAACTTTGTTTTATGTTCAAGAATCATTTTCTTCTGCACAGGACCAAACAGAAATGGCAAGTACTCAATTTGAATGTCAATACTGCACGGCATCGCTTCTTGGGAAGAAGTACATACTCAAGGATGATCATCTCTACTGTGTCTCCTGCTATGATCGGATCTTTTCTAACTATTGTGAGCAGTGCAAAGAGCCAATTGAATCGGATTCTAAGGTAGGTATCACTTCAGTTGACACCATCGCTGCTTAGGAACGGTGGGTAACTGCTTCAGAGTGGCCCTTGTCTCTGCATGTGGACTTTCTACCCACATTTTGTACCATATTATCATATCAAGTGCCGATATGTAGTGCTGCGGAATGCATGTTTTAATCCCACATTATCCTTAGGACAACTTTAAGTATATTTTCCTTTAAGTATATGTATGTGTGGTAGTTTTTAAGATGTTTTTAGGTAGTTTAAAAATGTAAAGAAGTTAAATTATTTCCCCAGAGTTTTACAACTAAATATTGAGTCACTTCTGGAATAGCTAATATATGCAAAAAATACATTTAAAAAAGAATTTGGAAACACAAAAATTTCAAAGCCTGTGCTTTCCAACTTAAAAATCTGCCTTGTCTCCTTTAGCCCCGAGACTGCTGCTTTGCACTTCACACTTCCTCCGCTTGGCTTGTTATTTCCTTTCTTTCTCGCCTTTGCTTTTACTAATGCTTTGTCATTTGTTTGCTTGAAGTCCCAAGGAATAATAAGATTCTGTAACCTAAAAATTAAAATGATCCCTGTAATGCTTTCTTGTAGGTTATAAAAGAACAACAGAGAAACTTAACAAATTCCAATGAGGTTATTTTTCAGTGGCCTTTAGTGACCAATCAAACAGGCCCCAGGCTTTTGCTCTTAATTACTCCAGAGAGTGTTTCTAGAGATAACAATATCAACACGTTCCTTCCAGCTAGGGGTACAATCTACTGCTACTAGGGTCCCAAGGGTGTCCCAACTTGTCTTAGAAAATGGCTTGTTTCATTGCAAGCCCATCTAATTGACTTTGTTTACTGTCTCAAAGGATCTTTGTTACAAAAACCGTCACTGGCATGAAGGTTGCTTCAAGTGCACCAAATGCGACCACTCTTTGGTGGAAAAGCCTTTTGTTGCCAAGGATGATCGCCTGCTGTGCACAGACTGTTATTCTAACGAGTGTTCCTCCAAGTGCTTCCATTGCAAGAGAAACATCATGCCAGGTGAGATCCAAACCCAGCTCCTGGCTCTGCCCAAGGAAGCCTCATCAGTCTTCCTCCAGCACCGGTGCCTCACAACACTGGTTTGAGGAAGTCAATGTTCTTGCCTGTTTTCTCTAATTCCTAATCGTCTGTTCTTCTTGATCAAAGTATATTGCAGTGCTCTTTAATTTTGTAATGTTATTACAGTGCTCAATGTTTTATTTTCATATAACCTAATTCACAGAAACATGTTGAGCCAGAGACAGCTCTAAGGGATAAAGCTTGTACCAGAAACACATGGGAAAATGCTCGGTCCTGAGCATAACCAATGGCTTTAAAAGGGATCATTCTTTATCAGACATTGGAGATAGTCCTCATTTTTTAATCAATCCATTCATTCATTCATTGTGTCTATTGTTTTTCTGTTGTGGGAAATGTTAGAGGACAATTTTTATAAGTCAGCTCTCTTTCCATGAAGTGGGATCAAACTAAAGTCATTAGGCATAGCAGCAAGCCCCCCCCCCCTTTTTTTTTTTACCAGTTTTGACTTTTCTTTTTTCATATGCTATTTTTTTTTCACTATACATACCAATCCAAGTTCCCACTTCCTCCCCTCCCCTCACTCCCTCCACATATCCTCCCACACTACTCCCATCCAGTCCTCAGAGAGGACAAGGCACACTGCCCTGTGGAAAGTCCAAGGCCCTCCCAACTATATCCAGGCTGAGCAAGGTATCAACCCAAAGAGAATACGTTCCCAAAAGCCAGTACATGCAGCAGGGATAAATCCTGGTGTCATTGTCAGTGACCCCACAGTCTGCCCTAGCCATGCAACTGTCAACCACATTCACAGGGACTAGTTTGGTCCTATACTTGTTCCTTCCCAGTCTGGCTGTAGTTGGAGAGCTCTCACTAGCTCAGGTAGACTTTTTCAGTGGGTGAACCCATCACGGTCTTGAGCTCTGCTCACATTCTTATTCCTCCCACTCTTCAACTGGACCTCTGGAGCTCAGTCCAGTGCTCCAATGCAGGTCTCTGCCTTTGTTTCCATCAGTTGCTAGATGATGCTCTCTGGTGGTTTTTAAGATATTCATCAATCTGACTACAGGGCAAGTCAAGATTGGGTCCCCTCCCTTCTATTGCTTAGGGTTCTAGCTGGGGTCATCCTTTTTGATTTCTGGGAATTTCTCTGGGGTCAGGTTTTGGATAACCCTATAATGGCTCCCTCAATCAAGATATCTCTTTCCTTGTTCTCATCTCTGACCTTCCTCCATCTTGACTACCCCATTTTCTCAAGTTTTCCTCACCCTTCCCCTTTACCCCTCTTCTTCCCCTTCCACCCTCCCTTCTCCCCCCAGCCCCATGCTCCCAATTTTGTCAGGCAATCTTGTTTGTTTCCAAATTCCAGGTGGATCTATATATGTTTTTCTTTGGGTTTACCTTATTACTTAGCTTCCCTAGAATCATGAACTACAGGCTCAATGTCCTTTGTTTATAGCTAGTATCCACTTATGAGTGTGTATATACCATATTCATCTTTTGGTGTCTGGGTTTCCTCACTCAGAACAGTGTTTTCTAATTCCATCTATTTACATGCAAAATTCAAGGTGTCATTGTTTTTTTTCCACTAACTAGTACATTAATGTGTAAATATACCACATTTTCTTTATCCATTCTTCAGTTAAGGGGCATCTAGGTTGTTTCCAGGTTTTGTATATTACAAATAATGTTACTATGAACGTAGTTGAACAAATGCCCTTTTGATATGATTGAACATCTTTTGGGCATATGCCCAAGAGTGGTATTGCTGAATCCTGAGGTAAGTTGATTCCCAGTTTTCTGAGAAAGCACCATATTGATATCCAAAGAGGTTGCACCACCAGCAATAGACGAGTGTTCCCCTTACTCCGCACCCTCTCCAGCATAAGCTATCATTGGTGTTTTAGATCTTAGCCATTCTGACAGGTGAAAGATGGTATCTCAGAGTCATTTTGATTTGTATTTCCCTGATGGCTAAGGATGTTGAACATTTCCTTAAATTTCTTTTGGCCATTTGGGATTCTTCTGTTGAGAATTCCCTGTTTACTTCTGTACCCCTCCTAGCTTTGTCCCTCTCTCAGATTTGCAGTCTCTTTGTCATTAACATTTGTTGTTACAGACATAAACACAAACAGGTATATAAATACAGCCTGTTGAAGGCGTTCAGGGTTTCCTGCAGGTTTGTGTGTTCCAGGACTGACCATGTAGGATCAGATAACTGAACAGGGGCTAGTCCTTAGGAAATAATAACAATCCCTCTGTCCGCATCTCAACAGCTGTTAGTCATAGCTCTTCACTTAGTCGTGGGGCCCCATGACATTTTCCCCATCTGTGTTAGAGCATCAGCTGTTGTTGGAATTGTTCAGGTCTTGTTTAGGAAGCCATGCTGTTGAGATTTCACTGGTGTAGCTTCCTTCTCATACCAAAAGGCACTCATAACTGATAACTCATAACTAATCTCACGGCAGAGTTTTGTTCCTCTGGCTCTTAAAATCCCGCCCCCTCTCTCCCTTTCCTAACCCTGTGGACAGCAGCATAAGAACATGAATCAGTCAACCCCACCTGGAAGCACTCTAATCAATATTACTACTACCACTATTATTAATATAAATTCAAATTCAGAAGCCATTTCCATAACCTGTATCACAGAAGTAGTGCCCTGGGCATTTATAATTATGTGTCTAATGACAGCTATGACTCAATCTGTCTGAACCATGAACCAGTCCAAATCTCGACATGCAGGGCTTCCCCATAACTTTTCCAGAAACTGCAGGGGTTTTCTGTGCATGATCTACTCTTATCCTAGCAGAACTATAGCAATTTTTCTTTTCTCTAAGGAATATCTCGGAAACTACAAAATGTTTTTCTAAAAGTTTTTTTTTTACTATTTATTTATACAGCAATACAGTTTATTATGATTATACTTAAAATATTTTAAATAATTGAGGCATGTTTTCTTAAAGAAAACACAAGTATGCCTAGCTTGTTCTAACAGAGTCTTACTTTGGAATCCAGGTTCTCGAAAAATGGAATTTAAGGACAACTACTGGCATGAAACCTGCTTTGTGTGTGAGCACTGCCGACAGCCGATAGGAACCAAGCCTCTGATCTCGAAAGAGAGCGGCAATTATTGTGTGCCATGCTTCGAGAAGGAGTTCGCTCACTATTGCAACTTCTGTAAGAAGGTAACTATCAAAAGAGGGTGAAGCTATGGGAACTTCCAGAACACTGTTGTTGTTTTTGTTCTTTGGCTGCCTTATATATTTGGAATGAAGTGACCCCATCATGCATGAGGTAGCCTTTAAATTTCAACACAGTCCGAACTAAAATTCTCATAATGAAGATGTCTTGCTCTTGGAGTAGTATAAAATTCCACCTTAGATCATGGATCTAATGTTCAATAACACAGATGATTTGACCTCCCAGTCGCATTAACTGTTGTATAGAAACTTTGTTCTGGAACACCTACATTTCCCTGTGCTTCCTAGACGACAATTTTGATCCATTTAGTATTAACTGTTTCAGAGAAATATGGATTTGCCCCTCAGAATGATTGACGGGAACAGGTACTAGAAACCCTGCCTTTTATTTTCTAGTTACTAAAGTCTCTTCTGATCTTGAGGCTTTGTGTTCTCAAGGAGAAGACTGGTAGGTAAGTATAGCAGATTATGAGAGAAATCCAGCTCTCTTGAAGACACAAAAAGCCCAAGAACTGCAATTTCCTTCATTTCCCACTCCAGCACAAAAGCAAGCGCCCTCTCACTCATTTTCCCATTCAAAGCATACTTTCCAGAGGGGAAATGTCATTTTTAGAAATAAACATGACCTAGCAGTTCATCCTCCAGGCTTTTATGTGAAGAGCAACTCATGTCCATCATCTTGATGAAGCCTGCCTATACTCATAAAATATATACTGATACTCTCAAAGAAAGCCTTGACACGTGAAGCACCACGAGTTTAAAATGGCACTGAGGATTGTAGGAGAACGCTGAATCATGACAAGGGATTGTGCTGGCTCCTGAACACTGTGATTTGTTAACTGCCTTGACAGCTCTCAAAACCACTGTGTATTTCCATCTGGACAGCTCATTATACTTTCTCCAGGTGCATACACAAGCATACATAGTACGGCAAATTTCTGCTTATATTGGTAATACCAGTGTTACCTATGGAAGAAAGTAACCAACGCACTCATCAGACTTATAATTATTCTATTATATAGAATATAATAGAGTAGTAACAACATGGGAGATCATTCACTACCTGAAAGTCTCTATTGCCTTTCCAGAAATGCTGGCTTTGAAAAGGATGATTCGAGCAACAATCAAACCCTGTGCTATGACCACATGACATAAGAAGCCTCATGGCTTCCAGAGTCAGTGGCATTTATAGCACATGCTGGAAACAAAATGAGTAGGCTTCTCTTGTTCTGAGAGGTTTCAAACTTAGGTTTCAGTTTAGGCTAATGCGTTAATGAAACTTGTGGGAAGTCCGTATAATTTATTGGACACAATAGTCTTCCTTTCAATGTTATTATAAAGACTCAAGATACCTGGGACAAAGTGCTGGATTTTTCAGGCTATGGAAGACTGTAGCTATATGGAGGACAGGATTTGAAGCCAGTAGAAGCTTATGAAATGTTCTTATTGGGTTGTAGACAGATGATGACTCGTTACTTTCTATTTAATTTTTAGACTACACACTCTTTAAGAAAAGCTGGATATAAATGATTGTGATCAAAACTAAAAAAAGATTCTATTCGATTCAATCCAGAAGCAAAACTTGGCTTAAATAAACCAAACTTATTGTCAACCAGACTTTTATGTTTTCCCTCAGCAATTTTGTTTTGTTACACTAGAATTTGCTACTTAGAAATTGGTGGTTCAAACTGTAAGTGCTTCAGATTCAAATTCCTCAGGATAAAAATAAAATTAAATGTGTCCTCAAGCTCTTTAACTGCTCTCTACTGTGTCCATAATCCTCACTGTCAGGCTAAGGAGATGCCACTATGTGGGGAGTCCATGCTGTAGAGCCAGGTTAGATGAAATGGAGAACTCAAAGTTGAGTGAGAAAGTCTTTGTCAAAAAGAAAGGGGGGAAGTGCTAGACAAGGATATTTAATGTCAGCGTCTAGCCTCTACAGAGATGCACAGATAGACATGCACACTCACACACACATGTACACAGAGACAAACACACACACATACAGATAAACACACACACACACACATACAGACACACACACACACACACACACACACACACACACACACACACACCAGAGAAGAAACGTGTTCTAAGTCAATGGTCAACCAAGGCTTAAATATTAGACTTCATCTTTGCTGTCTGTTTCTTCAAAAGGAATATAATCACGAGCAAACTTTTTATTCCCAAATATTCCAGAGCTCTGGGATATATTATTTTGCTAGGAATCCATTTTTCAAGTTTCAAATCTTCTAAGCACTGCCTACAAATCATTTGACCAAACAAATCAAAGGAAGCATGATTTCGCCTATGCCTGCTGTCAGGCGTTTGAAGTCAGTGGGAGGCATTTTAAATTGCTTTTCTTCCCACATACTGCTGTGCTCCTCATTTCCTTATGCAGACAATACAGTATACAGTACAGTATACTGCTGTGCTCCTCATTTACTTATGCAGAACAGTATAGTAGGCTTTTTTTCATTCTAGAAAATTTGACTTTCTATCAATTATCTTTACTTTCTGAGAAACTTGATATAAGGTTAAAGTGTGTTTAGAATATTTTTTCAAAGACCCATATAATAAACAAACAGTATGTCTATGTTTGACAGCAACGAAAGCTAGCTTAAAGTATGCTTACATTTTTAAAAATCTAGTAAAATTGATACAGATCTGTTGCAGCCATCTTTATCATCACATTCCTTGGTCTTTGTAAGAGACAGACATGAACATATTCCAGTGTCCTCCACAGCTGTATGAAGTCAACATGCATGGATTTGAAGAAACAGATGATTGTAAAGCAGCCACACTGGAATACTTAACCAGTATCTATCAACCTGATTCTCAAAAAAGACATTTCCACCTTTCAAAGAACATGAGGAATAAATTGATTTTTAAAAGAATGTATTATCGGTTAAGTAATAAAATATCTTCCTGGAACGCATAGGGTCCTGGGTTCAAAACCCCAGCACTATGCCAGCATTATAAAGAACAAATAAGCATCTGAGCCTCAATACACCATACTGATTCATGACTTCATGCCCAGCTTTTATGTTCATACAGGAATCATACAGGTCTCCATTTGAGACCTGAAGTGAAAAACTCACCCATTAGATTCAAGCCCTTTTTTGTTCAAAGTACGGTACTAGAATGTCTTTCCCACATGGCTGAGCACACAGATGGTACAGTACGTGCAAGTTCAGTGCAATTCCTCAGTGAGGGTAGTGAGTGACCCTGTCATCCATCACTTAAGGGCTGTCCATCTACAGAAGGACCGAGTCTATACCATGTAGCACTGTTGAGAATATCCAGAAATGATCATTCCTAATCCAGTACTGGGGATGGGGTAAAAAGTGAGTCTTTGCTCCCAATGATGGTGCTTGTTCATCAGTTCCACCCAGGATATCCACAACTGAGTCTCTCAGACTTGCAGTGACCTTTCAAGAAAAAGTACTGTGACTTCTGTTTCATTTTCTCATGTTTTCCGGAATTCTTCAATGTCAGATATTGTTATAAATATGTAGAGTAGAGTTATGGTAACCTTAACAAAAGATCTTGGGAGTTGGAAATAAGAAGAATTACAGAAAGGTGAAGTCAATCAAGCTCCTGCTTCCTTCATGATCTTCCCAGGTCCAAGAGGTTTCTACCTCTATTCTGATACATTCTTTAAGAAAGTTGGACTTATTCTTATTTTTGAGGTTCTGTATAATCCTTGTAATATTTTGTTTCTCTTATTGTTTTCCAAAACTTAAAGAGGTTTTCAAGGGAACAAGCACCCTAATGCAAAATACTAGAGAGTTCAGAGCACAAGTGTCAGCATGGAGAAGCATCATGAGAATGTCTGAATTGCACGGGTACCCACTCATTGCCTTCTGCTAATGCCTTGACAGGTGATAACTTCCGGTGGAATAACCTTCCGTGACCAGTTATGGCATAAAGAGTGCTTTCTGTGCAGCGGCTGCAGGAAAGAGCTTTGTGAGGAGGCATTTATGTCCAGGGATGATTTCCCATTCTGCTTGGATTGCTACAACCATCTTTATGCGAAAAAGTGTGCAGCCTGCACCAAACCCATCACTGGTAAGTGCTTTGGCTCATCATGGTTCTTCCATGATCCGGTTAGTACTATGTAAAATGCTACCTAATTAATTTAGGAAATGCAAATAAAAACATATTTTTATCTACTACATTTCCTTTTGGGATAAACACAAATAGATACTCATTTATGAATTTAAATTTTACATGGGCACCTCAAGGAAATGACAGGATACAATTTGGGTGTTTGTACATTGTAAAAAGTAATTAATTTAATCCCAGCGCTCAGGAGGCAGGGGCAGGCATCGATCTCTGGGAGTTTGAGGCCAGCCTGGTCTACAAGAGCTAGTTCCAGGACAGATACCAAAGCTACAGAGAAACCCTGTCTTGTAAAACCAAAAAAAAAAAAAAGTAATTAACTGAATGGTATGGTTTCTAAGGACAGTCATAGTCCAAGGAAAGACAATGGGTTAGCTAAAAGGTCAGAGAAGGCCCCGGTAAGGAGGCCCAATTTGAGACTCAAGAATTGAGAGGGCAGAGGACTATTACAGAATCAGAATCCCACTTATTTCCAACAAAAGTCAAACGGATTTAAAACACAAAAGGTTTTAATTAAACTATTGTATAAAATAGCCAAAGCTGTAATTAGAGTAACATTGAACAGGAATTAATTTCATTTCTTTTTTAAGATGCTTTAAGCAAACATATTACTGCCTTCTCTGTATTCACTGGCAGCAACTTGATTATGAAAGAAAACAATATAGTATTCAACTAAAGAATAAAGTGCATGAGACATGGTTTGAAAAATAACATAGGTGACAAATCCATCCATGCTAAGCAGCTTCTCGCAGGGTTGGAGGAGCATATTGTGTTTACCTCAGAACTGTCTCTAAAGCATTAATCCTGTGGTAAAGATGCTGAAGCCAGCATGAGACTTGGAAAACCCAGAACCTGTTCTTCCAGGCAACTTATTGTCATTAATAATGTGACAGAGATGTATTTCCATTTCTGTCCTCAGTATTCTTAGTTCATATGTCATTTTTTAGCTCAGTTTGTGTAACACCAAATTAAAGGTTATTCCCTTTCTTCCCCTTCCTCTTCTGATCTCACCTATTTCTCTCTCTGTCTCTCTCTCTGTCTCTCTGTCTCTCGTGTGAGTGTGTATGTTGAATTTACATGAATTTTCTAATGAAGGAAAACATTTTCTCTGCTAAGCTAAACTTGAAGGCTTTCTGCCTACTTGAAAAGGGAGGAAGTGGCCCTCCTTATTTGTTATTTATTATTTAAGCACAATCCTGTTTGTTTACCCAGGGGGCACCATATTTTTCAGATTTACACTGGTCCATAGGTTGTGTTTGGCTAGCAGACAGGTTTTACTTGGCCAATATTTAATTTACAGGGTTAGGGAGGAGACTAATATAAAAACCATTGTTACAACTAAAAGCACATTGAGAGCTGGTGACAGATGGTCTGACTGCCTTCACATTCCCAAGTCATTCTCCCAAGCAGCACGGTGACCACCCTATTGTAGCAGCCAGGTCTTCTCTGTTCCTAACACACCCTCTTTCTCTGTCATTCAACTATGTTACCTTTTTGGCTTACAAGGTTCCATGTTAACAGTTCCAGATTGTTGGGCTTCTCAGCATGGGTTCCTAACCACTCTGCTCTCCTATCTTCTGTTCATCTGGCAGCTCCTGCAAAGGGAGGCAGCTACCAGTTCCATCACCTTTAGTTAGGACATGGGACGTTTGGAAGTTTAAACGCATCAGACTCCAGAACCTGCTTAGTAAATTCTCCCATCACAGTCTGCTCTAATTTCATTTGAACTGGGCTAGAACGAGTGGTCCTCTGATGAGGGAACTAAGAGGTTAAATAATGTAAAATATTTTTACAGTGCTTAAAGAATTCTAACAGCTAGCAGGGATCGCATGGAGGCTACGCAAGCCCTGACCTTAATGGTGTTCAATTCTGATCCATCACAGACCCATGTGCCTAAATGGTATTTCTGGTAAATGTTTCATCAGCCAACTGCATGAAACTTCATTCAGTATAGACAGAGACCAACAGTTTTACACAGAAACATAAAAGACTAGACCCCAGGTTAATCTAAATTGATGGTGTTTATGTGAGAGGAGTCAATCTAAAGGAATTTCTAAGGATTGTCTTGGACTGAAATGCCTGCAAAAACTGCTAGATCACTCTTATATTTCTTAAATATATGTAAAGCCCTAAAGTAAGGCTTCTAAAATGAACTGTCTGGGTTAACACAATAGGGAATCCTCGGAATGCTCTGTGTTTATCTTCAGAAGTTGTGAATTCATGCAAGCACTTAGCCGTCTTAGGAGCTATGCTTTCTTACAGGGAACTTCAAGTTCAGGAAACTTGCTGTACATTGTGGTGACTACAGCAGGTGATAATGCATTACATCATTGAAAATCTATAAAATACTGAATTTTAAAAGATATATCTGAAGTAATGCATGTTATCTAGATAGACTTAGGTATTCCACAGTGTTTGCATATACCATGACATCATGTTATGTACTGTAAATATATACAATTAAAAATCAATGTTTTAAGAGAAGCTGTTTCTATTAGGATGCTTTTAGTATAGTATCCTATGTTAACTAACTCCACCTAGAGGTGGTTTAATGTAATTTGCTGATACTATTACAATGAATTGACTTTATTTGAACTAACAGATATAACTATGATTTTCTTTTTTCAGTTTTATTTTTAATTAAAATATAATTATGTCACTTCTTCCCTTTACTTTCCTCCCTTCATCCCTTCCCATTTCTCCTTCTCAGACTCCTCCCACTTTCCTCCTCATTCTCAATTGGATACTCTCTTTTCCTTTGATTATTGTTGCAACATGCACACACATGCAAAAATATATAATAAGTATAGTCTACTGAGTCTGTTTTTATTGTTTTTTCAATATGTTTTCAGAGATGACTACTTTGTACTGTATAACCAATTAGGGTAGAAATCCCTGGGAAAGGCTAATTCTCCCTTTCTCGGCAGTCATTAGTTACTTGTGTTGCTTTGTCTAGACATTGGAACCAGCGAGATCTTTTGTCCCTCTAGGTCTTGTTAATGCAGCTATTTCTAGGAGACACAATCTCAGCCACTTCACAGTCCTCTGCCCTTTACAATCTTTCCATCCCCTTTTCAAAGACTTGCCCTGAGATTTAAAGTGCAGGACCTATGTTGTACATGTAACTGTTGAGGCTGGGCTGATCTCCACATCTTGTCCGGGTGTGGTTTTCTGCAATGGCCTCCATTTGCTATAAGAGATGGAAGCCGCACTTATTTGTGAGTGTAATACTTAGAATGTATAACAACATTTATCTCTCCCTTTTTAAGGTGTTCACTACCTCTTGAACTATCTGAGCTAGATGAAGTAGCTTGACCTAGCAAAAGTGCTCTTAACCTGGTATTAACAGACCTTGGTTCTGCCTGTACTGCTAACCGCTGTGTGACTATGGGCAAATACCGCCCCCTGGAGGCCTGCTCTTGCCATATCTACAAAATGATTGGGAAAGGATTGCCTTCCCTTCATTTCTTTTTATTTAGTGAAAATGGAGTTTCAAGCTCTAAACTTTATACAGATGGGAGCACTAAGGTTCCCAGTTATGTTCCTCACAGAGATAAAGTTAATTTAGTGAGGTTAACAGCACGGACTGGGAAGCCAGACTGCAGAGTTTGAGTCAGATCTTGCCAGTTGGTGACCTTAGATGAGAGGCTGGACTTCTCTGTTCCTTGGTAGATATTTGTCTACAAATTGAAGATGCTGCTACTATCTACTCTATGAAGGTTAGATGAGGGCTATATATACACATTCAGGCTTAGACTGAAGAGTGGCAAACTTCAAAACTCAATAAACTACCCTTTTACTGACTTTTCAGGTACAAATGAAGCTAGATGAAGTTGGTGTCAAAGATCAGTTTGCTTTCTTCTTCTTTTATTCTTTTTGAGCCCTGGCTAGCCTGGAACTCAATATGTAGACTAGGCTTGCCTTGGACTCAAATAGACCTGACTGCCTCTGCCTCTCAAGTAGCTGGGATAAAGGATGTGTACTACCATACCCAGCAGCAGATCAGTTTCCTAAAAGACTGTAAATGACTCTGTTGACCTAAATAAGAAAACACAACTAAATCTGAAAAAAATTATAAAAACCTCAAGGGTTGGACTAGACCTTACTGTCCTATTGCTATATGCTTTCTTTTTCTTCTGTGTTAAACTATATATTTACTTTTACGTTTGCCACTTGTCTGTGGCTTGCTAATTAAATTGAGAATAACTCATAAGCATCAAAGTCCTACCTATTCAATAGTTAGTTTTACTGAGAAAGATTATTTATGTACATATAAAACCTTATTCTTAAAGCTACTAAAACTTAAGAAGATAATTAAGTGGTATATATCTTAGTGTTTCTATTTCTGTAATAAAACACCATGAATAAAAGCAAATTACGGAGGAAAATGTTTATTTAAATTATGCTTCCATATCATGGTTCATCACTGAAGGAAGTCAGAACAGGAACTTTAGAACGGAAAGAACCTGGAGGCAAGAGCTGATGCAAAGTCCATGGATGGGTGCTGCTTACTGGCTTGCTCCTCATGGCTTGCTCAGTCTGCTTTATTATAGAACTCAGGACCACCAGCCCAGGGATGGTTGCACCTGTAATAGGTATGGACCTCACTCACAAGTCACTAAGTAAGAAAATGTCCTACAGTCTTGCCTACAGCTTGTCTTTGTGGAGCCATTTTCTCATTTGAGGTTCTTTCCTCTCGGAAAACTCTAGCTTGAGTCAAGTTGACATAAAACCAGACAGGACTAGTTTACTCTCATTGTAAGATAATAATTACATTATAATGGATACATAAACGATATGTTTAATAAAGAAAATTGAGGTAAGATCTTGGTTTCTTTATGAGCCAAACTCAGTATAAAGACAGAAAGATGGCCCAGTGGTTAAGAGAACTTACTGCTCAATCATGAGGACCAGAGTTCAGATCCCAGCACCAACACTGCATAACTCACACCCACTTGTAAATTCAGCGCCAGTGGTTCTGACACCTTGTCTGACATACTCAGGCACCTGTACATACATGTGCACTGATAGACACATATATAAACATTTTAAATAAAAAGACCTTAGCTAAAAGTCCATTATCATTTTCAGAGAACTAACCTGAAATAGATTCATAGTCACAACTTGAGATTCTTTATCTCATGAGAGAATTGGGCAGTGCGTGTGGGGTCAGCACAGGAAATACTTTCTTCACTCCAGCTGTGATAAGCAAGGCACCAGTAACCCATAACATGAACACTCCTTGTCCACTTATCAAATGCAATGAATGGAGCCAACCTGTAACATCGATCACCTCTCAGCTTCTGGAACTTTTCTTTTTCCTATGACTATTCAGCATTTGTAGTGGGAGCTGTGGGGCTGCATTCTGCCACCCAGCTCCTGCCACCGGCTAGCTTATGCCCCGAAATAACAACACACAAACTGTATTCATTTAAACACTGCTTGGCCCATTTCTATCTTGCCTCTTCTAGGCTAACTCTCACATCTGGACTAGCCCATTTCTTATCATCTGTGTAGCACCGGTCTTACCGGGAAGATTCTAGCCTATGTCCATCCTGGGTCGGTGCTTCATCGCATGCCCTGGGAGTGGGGCATGGCGTCTCTCTGAGGCGTCTGCTCCTGAGAGGAGAGCTGTCGAGTCTGAGCTCACTTCCTCTTCCTCCCAGCATTCTGTTCTGTTTTCTCCACCCACCTGTGTTCTAACCTATGAGGGCCAGCCAAGCAGTTTCTTTATTTTTTTAACCAATGACCTTCCTCCATCAAGCATTCTTTGTCGGACTGAAACTGTATTAGACAGACAGGGATCAGTGCTTTAGTGAGTGCTTTAAGAAGTAACTTAGCTCAAGTAAAGACAAAATTAAAGTGATGAGGGCTGAAGGCCTTCTTGGAATTTATCTTTGAGTAAGGCGAGCAGGTATCTAGAGTGAAGAGATTCCTCTGTTTACACAAGAACTCTGAACTGAAGCTGCTGCAGAGCCAGGCACTAAACTTGTTACTGGAGAAGAGCTCTATGAAAATCTGGAAGAAATTCTCAACTTGGTCTTTGGAAAATTGTGTCTCAAATCTCCCCGAATAGGATTTCCTCCAAATAACATGAAGCATGGAGAAATGAAGGAATAGGAAAATTGAAGTCACTAAAACATCAAGCCCCAGGCTCAGAAATATACATTTCTTTTATTATGTTTTCAATTTGCAGCTAAGAAAACTTGCTCACAGGAAGAGTCGGGCAAAATGCGTTCATGTTTGCATATTGTGGGCTTCTATCTTCCCACTGCACACTGGTTTCCTGACTCTTGTAGTTTTCATCTGCCTCTGCCCCAAAACAATTAAAAGAAAACAATACATATCAAGATTTATTTTACTTCCTTAGATTACAGCAGAATTGAGCCAGGAATCTTATATGGCTGAAGTTCTTAGCTGGATATGAGGCCAGAGAGCCACACCCTATGGAGTTAAATGTGTCCACATTGTCTTGCTAACCACTCTATTCAATAGTTTCTAGCTGACTTCTCAATCTGTTCATTGAAAAGAATGGATTACTTTTTGCCTCCAATTCCCTTCCAGGTCTCAGAGGTGCCAAGTTCATCTGCTTTCAAGACCGCCAGTGGCACAGTGAGTGCTTCAACTGTGGGAAGTGCTCCGTCTCCTTGGTGGGCCAAGGATTCTTGACTCAGAACACGGAGATCTTCTGCCGCAAGTGTGCCTCCGCGGCAGACGCGTCTGACGCGTAGGAAGAGACGGTCTCTCCCCGACCTGAAACCCACTTTGCCTTTGCTCTCACTAAAAGGGGAACTCAGTGGCAGTAATACTCTTTGTTTGTATTTTAGAAAGCAGTTTAGTACAGGGTACATAGCAGGAAAAGGCTAGTATACTTTATAATTGAACTCTATAATAAGAAACACACAAAACACAGTCTAATAAGAAAATGAATTACTAAGCCACAAAGCTCTATCTCCTTGCAAAATAGTGCACTCTGCTGTTAGAAACATGGGATAATACCTCTTCATTTATTGAGTATATGGCCTATATTTAGTAATTGTGAATACTGCTGATAAAGGACGTTTTTCAAAACTACAGAAGGAAAACAAGATCCAGTTGAGAAGTAGACAAGAAACAAATGTTTGCCTTTTAAACTAGCTGGTTATACATGGCACGTTAGACTGAATATGAATAGTGGAAGAACAAGATTTATGAAAAATCAATTAGTAATTATCACACTCAACAACCTTATCATTTTAGAATCATTCTTTGTTTCGCAAGTACTGAATAAGAGCTGAGAAACAAAGCTGCGGAGTTTTCTTGTACACAAGGCTTCCACCCTCAGCTGCCCCTTAGACAATGAAATTGGACAACTATGGTACCTTTATATTTAGATACAAAGGCCTTCATCCCTATCTGAGCAGAGCCAAGCATGCATTTTCATTAGATTTAGATTACAGATTCAAATACGTTTTAGATTAGTTATATTTTCAAAGCCCACATAGAATTTCTAAATGTTTACAGATTTCATCTATTCTCTTAAATGAATTTAATCAAAATAATTGTTGATCCCAAAGGCAAACCATTAAAGTAAATGAATTATTAGATTTTCACTCATGAAAATGAATGTTAGGGAAGCAGTTCAATGTTAGAACACGAGTTTCATCCAGATAGCTAAGGTATAATAGGATGCATAATTATTTCTAAGCCTTATACATTTTGCCTTTGAAAACTATATAGATAACTAATGGTCAAACATAAAAGTGGACTAAAAAGCAACCTAGTAAAAGTAATAACTTACAAATAATACTTCACTGTTGATAACTCAGAACCTGCAAACAAACACAATATAAGAAAGTGGGAGGCAGAAAAGCCCTCCTTAGTTCTTTCGTGATTGAATCACCCCCTGTCCTGAAGCCAACCAACCCCAGAGCTGCAGTCTGTGTATGACCAGGACTTCCAAACCCTAAGCAGTCAATCCAGAAATCAACATTTATTCTGTCAGCAAGGACGTTTTAGTGGGAATTCTGCCATGATATAAACAACCCTTGTTTCAAGCACCAATCGATCATCATTAAATGAAATTGCATAGGTAAAATTAATCATACTGATTATTTTGTGATCTAGAAAATAATTCACTCACAACTGTAAAAATCTAAATTCTTCAAAATTTAAATAGATATACAAGATATGGTATTGTCTCTGTTAACCAATTACAGATAATCATGTAGCACATGATATTCCCTGATTAAACAATTAAATAGATCATGTGTTTGTAATGGTACATGGGAAAGAGTAGGGTAAGGGTTGCATTTAAACTTTTTATAGTACTGAAGTTCAAACCCAGGACCTTACACATGCTGTGCAAGAACTCTACCATGGGGATAGATCCCTACCCTTTGCACTTAATCTTAGCAATTAAATACATAAAATCATTTGCCAGATAAGCATTTTATTATCCTTTCTTAGTTATAGTTCATAAATATATAGAAATAGTTACCAATTTTTGTATTGCTTAGTAACCAAATATATATCTAATGTGCATTGCCTAGAGTTAAAAGTCATGCTTCTGGGACTTTGAGGTGGTGGGAGGGAAGATCTGGGTTTAAAAATATGACAGTCTCACTACAAAGACCCTTCCACAATGCATAAGGCAAGCACCACTGAAGATACAGCATTCATATGAAAAACGATTAAGAAAGACTTCTTGCCAATGACACACACAAAGATAACTGTGGAAAAAACATGGATGATTTATTTGATTTATAAATGGAAAATTATCCTTACTGGCTTATTAAAAAATGGGATGGACTGCCTCAGTAAGCAGTGGGCATTCATGATGCAGGGTGACATCTGCATGGGCAGGGAAGTAGTTAGAAGCAAGCCTTTCACCAGATGGCTTGGAAGTTGCAGAGAGGCTGTGCTATACAGAGCAGGGAGAAATGAGATTGCTACAAGCAAAAGTCAGAGGAAGGGGAAAATGAACTGTCAGGATAAAAAGTACAGATGTATATATAATAGGTCATGGAAGTTGCCAGTGTTCATAGCTAGCACAGACAGGAAAAGGCTATGACAGTGTTCAAGGACAGTTATATCTACATGTATACTGTGTGGGATAGGACCAGAGTGCACAGGAGTTCACCAGGTGTTTCCCACTGTTCCTCGTGTGCATGGTGATTGGTGAAAGGGAGAGAACAAGCGGAAGTTCAAACTTAGGGCTGTGTTGGCTGACGAAGTGAGTGTACATGTCAACAAATCAAGATACTCAACATTGCTATATTTGGGGTTGAAGTTGATAAAACAGAATTTTCTTCTGTTAAGGAAGATGGGTAGGATGCCCAAGGGCTCGAGTTTTAATTAACAAAACCATTAAAATCTTTGACTGAGATAAATTAGCACCAGTGGAAAACTGAGATATGATCATATCACAAATCATGGTTCACAGCTCAGTCATTATGACTTTAGGAACATCACATTGTACATTGCAGTAGAAGAGGTCAGGGACAGTGAAAAATGTGTGCCTCTGAGCACAAGTGACCTTCAAAAACCATTACAGAATACCAACGTGGAAAATCAGCCTCAAATCATTTTTGATGTTGGTAATATCACTTTTTAATGTAAGTGTAAAAGTATTTTGTAAAGTACTTGACATGTTGACATAGTTCATGTGTTAAATTTAAAAATGAATGTTACACTATGATATGGTTATATTTAACTGAGCAAATAAATTATTCTCCAATGCTTTAATGGATATTTCATATCTGCAGCTGCCATAACACAGATTTTTGTTTTACAAATGGTGGTTTTCAGAAGTTTCTTATATTGAATAAACATATACTTCACATGGTAGATATTCTTGAAATGGGTTTTGGGGATTTTTGATATTAGCTGTAAACACAACAGATATAGAATAATTTCTTTAGAATTTCTACTTCTATTTCATGCTTCTTGCCTTATAATTTTTACAATATATAAATTACTATATTTGGGTATCATCTCAAGGCACAGATAGAAAAATACCCTAGCTAAGTATTGATCTGAATGTGATGCCTCTACTGCTAAATAAACTATGTGCTACCTGACTCTTTCTTACAGTAGTCAGATTTAGAATACTAGTAAATCAAAAAAATCTAATTACTCTTCCTGAGACCAGAAGAGTTCACTTTAGATTTTCCTGCCATAGCTCAGACTCTTTTCCTAATATTTTCTGAGTCAAAGGAGATGTTAAAACTGTTGCTAGTTTTAGGCTCTTATCTATTTTATTAAAATTAAAGTTTTTGTAAAGCATTACTTTTTCAAATCCACACTTTCACTCTATAATTACTCTAGAAAATAAATTTTTTTAGTAATTGAACAAATAAATATTTGGGAAAAATGCCTCTAAATAGATATTTAAAGTTTTTCTTTGATATAATGATTTTGAAAGGTCATGTTGATTGTGAGCCCAGAGGGGCAGGGAGATAAGTGGCACTGGAATGTATGATGTGAATTCCACACAGAACCAATAAAAGGAAGGAAGGAAGGAAGGAAGGAAGGAGAGAGAAAGAAAGAAAGAAATAGAGAGAGAAGGGAGGAAAGAAGTAAGAAGGGAGGAAGTAATAAAGAAAGAAAAAGAAAAGAAAGAGAAGAAAGGAAGGAAAGAGAGAGAAAAAGAAAAAGGGAGAAAAGAAAGGAGAAAAGTCATGTTATTTATATGTATATATGAAAGTTAAAGCTTAAGTCTTGAGTCTTCAATTATTGTTTCTTCAACTAGAGTCAATCTATCAGTGGGTATTATGGGATCTTGGAACACTGCCTTCATCCTGAACTTTTTCCCCCAACGAACACTGAACCTTTAGATCTCATTAACGTACCAGGAACACATTATATAGTGTCACCATCAAGAAATGTGTGGGGGCTGAAGAGTTGGTTCAGTCATTAGAAGCCCATGCTACTTTTGAAGAGGATCAGAGTTGGGCATCTCACAAGGAAGTCTAGTTCCAAATCAGCAACTATAACTTGAGCTCCAGGGAATCCAGTGCCTCTAACCTCTGCAAGCACTTACACTCCAATGAGCACACACACACAAAATTAAAAATCATTTTAAAAAGTAAAAAGAAAGAAAGGATGGGTACAGTGGGAGCTCCTGTAATCCAGAGAAAGGATAGAGAAGGAAAATTGGAGACCAGAGCATTGAAGCTTGGCTGAGAACACAGTAAGACATGGTTCAAAGGAGGAAAGCATTGTCTCAAAACTTTGAGCTCTTCACTGATCCCTATAAAACTTAAGAAAGTATACCACAAGGGCAGATGTCAACTCAGAAATTACAAAATCTGAATTTTATATAAAGTATATATTACCAACACAACAGAAAGATGCCATCAGAGAAGATGGTAAGACTCTTCCTTTAAACCATACAAATTTCTTCTCAGAAGTATTGTGTGCTGATATCTTATCTATTATATTAAAATCAGAGTTATATGGATAACACAAACATTGGTAAAACTTGGTTCAATCCATATTTTTAAGAGAATATATAAATACACACCACCACCTAGGCAGCCATGTGACTTCTTAGATGGCCCAAAAACTGCGTCCAGAAATAGAGAAAATCCTTATTAAAAAAATTCTAACTTTTTCTCACTGACTAGCTTTAGGGTCAGGTATACTCCTGAATAATGAAGGTAGATGAGTTATTTCTAAAATTTGGAATCATAAAGAGGAAAAAGCAAACACAAATTTTGAACATATTAAAAGTCTGTGGGTATCCACT